AGTAAAATTTGTGAGTTCTGGCAGTGAGGTTTAAAAAATTGTGGCGCAGTTGGCATTTAATTAAACCCAGGTTCATAACATTGTTTAAGTGGGTTTTCGATGTTTCATGACGTTTAATGTTTTCGCTTAGGTGCACTAAGTCGGTTACACCAACTATGGTCCAATTTTTTTCTCCACCAAACAAAAGGCACGGAGAACAAAAAAGAGAATTATTTTTAATGCATCCGCATATCCAGTTGTTTCTGTCATAAATGTCTCTTGTAAAAATCCTTTTATACGATTTCCCCGGCTTGAACCACAATTTTCAATTGAAATATCGGGCAACGGCCGTCCATCTTCTTTTAGTTTTAATTTTTCTTCATACGTATAGAGGGAGAATTTTTTAACATTAATTAAATCATACACCACATTCATTCTTACAAAAGAATACAACAACAAAGACAAAACACAAAAATACAAAGAATTAACAGTCTTCTATTTAAAATAACAAACAAAATAACAAACGTGAATGCGAAGCGAAAAACAAACGACCGGGAAGTAGGAACTGTATGTTGGTGCAGCTCCGGTTTGGCTTAAATTTCGCAATCTTAACCCAGGACCAAGAGCGGCGCGGAGCAAAATTACGGTATTGAAATGGGAGCCAGAACTCGAAAGTGGCCCAGCTTTGTTGTATTGTAAGCGTTAAGCGTTAGAGACCTTTACCGGTTGTTTGGATGACTGTAGTGGCCAAGTACGGCGACACGGCGAATGTTTATAATAAAAACTTTTTATGCAGCCATGCGTTTGAAATATTTATACACTGTCGCACTTAAATATTAAATAATTAAAAAATTAGTCAAGTAATAAGACAATTTTGGGAGTTCTGCAGCTCTGCAGCCCTTATGCACTAGCCGCCCCTGATAACCTATATGTTTTATAACAAGTAAATAGCTATAATTATAAGCTAAGTAATTACTTGTTATAAAACCTTTAGGCCATATTTAATTTAAAACAGAAAAGCAAAATGTTTTCAATTTCCGAAATTTGGTTTATGTTGCTTGCGATACTTTGGCAAAAAGTAATCGATATTATTACTGTTTTCAATTATGTTTTTAAAGTTTAGAAGTTTTTAGCTAGATTAATATTTAAACAATGTTGTTTTTAAGATTTTGGTATTGTGTTTTAATTAAATTATCATCTGAAGATTTTGACAGTTTGTGTAGATCTTTTAAAAGCAAAGAATTGTTTATTATATTGGAATTAATCCAAGGTTTATTTTTAATGGCCATGTTCAAGTTTTTACTATTAAAAAGTTTTTCCACGGGTAAAGAAGTATTAAACATATCAAGAAACCTATTATAAAATATATTAAATATAACTTCTATATCCCTAGAGGGCCCTGTCTCCGACACATTGCATACGTTTAAAGTTTAAATGAAAATATTACTTTTTTATCTCTATTACGCAAAAAAGGTACACCTTGTAAATGTCGATCCGAGAATCGTTTTATTGTGATTAATTTGTATTTACAATAAATATTTTGAAACATAAAATTTTGACAACTTCGTTGGACAGTAACTAAATTTGTAGCGTCTCTTATGGTATTTTCTTTAATTGTAACCTATTTTAAAAAAAGTTTTACTTTTTTAAAACACAATTAATTGGCTGCACTGAACAATTTAAACGTAAACATCTCAACAACGGTTACTCAACAAGAACGTATGTCTAAAATTAATATTTTTATTAAAAAACGTAAATACATAAAGGAGCAAAAAAATGTTACCATTTATACGTTTGCAATGTGTCGCCCTCTAAAATCCACATTATTCTTTTAGTAAATTAAAATTTTCCGCCATGAAAACCCCAAAATACTACATTTTGTGCAAAAAAAGTTTTAACTTTAACAGGGTGTATATTGGTTATTATCAACTTTTAAATTTGGTAAAATCTCATTATTTTGATTTCAGGAATATCTACATATTAATTTTTATTGGTGAGTGTAGAATATTTAGCAGAAAATAACTTACTTGCGTCGCGTTCTGTCCATCCTTGTTAGCATTAAAAAATATTATAGTATAGTTAATTAAGATTAGGGGTCGTCCATAAAGGACGTCACGCCCTAGGGGGAGGGAAGGGGTCTAGCAAATCGTGATTATTCGTGACAAGGTGGGGGGAGGGGTTCGTAAGAATGTGACGTCCGAAATTCGTTTTTTTACTTATTTTCTATATTTATTTTCTACAAAATTAAATCTTTTTTGTCAATATTTTGTGTTCAAGTAAACTAGGATTTATATAACAATTAGGGGTAAGATTTGTTAGTATATTATGGATTGGGTCTATACAAAATATTTTATTATCGTACAATATTTCACCCAGATACTAAAAATATAATAATACATGTTGCTGTTTGAGCCCGAGAAGCTCAATTTTTAATATTTTGTCAGAACGATTTCTGCCCCCTCCCATTCCTACTAAACAAACAGAATATGAATCGGAATCGCTGTTCATTTTAGTCTCAATTTACAAACATTTTTACCAAAATCTGCTGAGCCCTCTCTTATTCCTTATGATTCATTTTGTTTGTTAGTACAGACAGATTTAGAAGCCAGAATTTGTAATTTGCTTCAAAAGTAATGCTTAAAAAACACCGAGTTTTACACAAGGAAAATCAAGGGATAAAAAAATAAAAATCCGACCAATAAGAGTAGCAGCAAAGCGGCAACGAGAAATTATGGCGATTTTGACTGCCTATTAAGTAGACTGGCTCGAAGAAGAAAATCTCGATTTGACTGGAATAATTTTCTATCTGAAAAGAAAGAAGACAAAGAAGAATCCGATTTTATGCCAATTCATTCTGCTGTTAAATGTTTTGAAAATCCTTGGGAGGAAATTTAAGAAAATACATTTTTTACTCTTGTAGTTTTTTTATTCAGAATTTACTTATTCAAAAATAAAAATTAATGTGACTATATTACAGTGTTTCAAATTTAGATTAGAAGTCCAGTGGCTAATATATTAATATTTTTTCCAGGTATACTTGTATACATTGTTTTAAAAAATTTAAATAAAATTATTTTAGCACAACTACCTTAAATTTGTATGATCATTCAATTATTAGTTGACGTTCTTTATGGACGACCCCTTATTTAAAAATAAAAATACTGCAAAAAGAATTTTCTTAAATTTTTTGTAGATAATTTATAGGCTAGAATAATCACAAATCTCAATTTTCAAGGTTCTACAATAATGAATTACCGATAAATTAATTATTTAAATTTTAATTTTTAGCAAGATGCGTCATTTTTTTTCTTCATTTCTTAAATAACTCCTTAACCTATACAAGTTATTGAAGAGTTTGTTTCTAAAGCAGGGTACAGACCAAGTTCGCGAGCTGTTCGCGAATAGTTCGCGAACACTTTTCGGAGCTTAGTGTGTACGCGAGTTCGCGAACAGTTCTAGAACAGCTCGGCTGTTCGTTCAAGTTCCGGGTCGAGTCGGTAACTTCAAAGGGTTTGTTCGCGAACACGTGGCGAGCTTAGTATGTGTGTGGACGTTCCAGAGTAGAACCTCTGTGGTTTGGCATTTATTTATTTAGTTTATGCTGGACAGTATAAGTTTTTAACAACGTACATATTATAATTTACCTTAATAAATAAAAAGCTATTTTAAACATGGACTGGTCAGAGGACGATATTGTTTGGTTAATCGAAGAATATCCACCATATTTTGAGCGATTTTTAAATAAACTTCTTTGCCACCATCGCCTGGTCTTACGTTTCTGTTTTTTTTGACTCAACATTTGATTTTACTAAAAAATAGGCCGCACAAGCAATTATTAGATCGCTTTCTTCATCGCTTTGCAGCGATGACATTATTTTTATTTAAATGTTTAAATTTGAATTTGGAAATTATGGAACCCTCGACGAACTCGGACGAACTTGCTCACCGAAACTGTTCACGTGCAAACTTTTCTAGTGTGGACGGCACGTTCGCGAGCTGCTCGGGTTCAATTTGGAAGCTGTTCACGAGCAGCTCACGAGCAGCTCGCGAACTCTTTGTTTTTGGTCTGTACCCAGCTTAAGGGGTTTTTATTCTGATTTTAAAAATATCATCAGATTTTGTGTTTTGGCATAAGCATTGCATTTGCTGAAAAAATTCAAGAATTGTTTTCGAGATGTTTGATCAGGACCACATCCTTTACATTTTTGTATATTGTATAGGTAGATGACATACCACTTCTTACAGAAAAAAATTCGTCGTGGCTTTCCGCCTAGGAGCTAAGAAAAAAGTTCTTGAACTTTTATGTTACCAAAAACTGGTCGTTTATCAAAAACTACAGGTGACACATGTAGGTGACTGGTGTCAAAAATAAGCCATATGAAACGAAAAAACGAAACCATATAAGCTGACATCTGTTATCTGTCATTATTGATAATTTACATACATAGATCATAGTTATTTATGATGTAAGTGTTAATAAAAACAACTTTAATACGCACATTATAAATAACTATTATAATAGATAATTATCTGCTACGTAAATTGCTTATTTAGTTTCGTATTTTCGTTTCATATGGCTCATTTTTGACATATGCCTTAGCTCATTTTTGACATGTTATAGTTTATTTTTGACACCTGTCATTTTTGACATCTCTCACATATCATTTTTGACATGTTTCACCTGCAGTTTTTTAAAAAAGACCAGTTTTAAGTCACATGAAAGTTCAAGAATTTTTTTCTCAGCTCCTAGGTGGAAAGCCAAGATGCATTTTTTTTCTAGAAGTACCATCTTTACAAAATAAAAATTTAAAACATGTGGTCCTTATAAAACATGTTGAAAACATTTTTGAATTTTTTTAAGCAAATGTACACTTATGCAATAACAATGGAAGACACAAATTCTGAATACAATACAATCAGCTTAAATAGTTTACAAATATTATTCAAAACGCGTCCAAGTAATTTTTGTACAGTTACACTGTGTTATTTAGTACACTAGATATAATTAATTAAAAACTCACCTAATTTACTCGAAACTCCTTCTCTCAAGTTTGGATGAGCAGCAGTATGTTGAGTCTCAAATACTTCCCTTCTAAACACTGGATCAGGTTCCATATGTGGATATAAATTACCAGTTTCTGGCTTCTTCTTGGTAAAAAGCTGCAAAACAATTACTTTTGTAATCCATTTTAAATAATATGTAAAACTATATTATAGTGTGAAAAAGGGATTTAAAGGAAAATCAGGTAACAAAAAAAATCTGTGTTATCTAAGATGGTTTCAATTCAAAGGTTCTTAATGATAAACCTAAAATCTATTTTTTAAATTTATTTACTAACCCAAAAAGATTTCAAGATTACAGGAAATAAAAATATGTAATTATAATGGATGTTACATGACCAGGAAAATTATTATTATATTATTAAATTTGTCGAATATTTTGAGGTTTACTCTAGCGAATATTGTTTGTGCTTGCTTTGAATAGTACGAATGCGCTGCACAAGTACTATTCGAAACCTAATCTTTTCTAGATCACACCTTAAAATATTCGACTTTTTGATTTGGAGGACAATTTTATTAAAGCAAACATTTCAAATTGTACATTCAATTTCAAGACAAAATAATAAATAAAAAACCGATTTTCATTTGTCAAAAATATTTACCTTATAGTACTAGTACCTACAATATTCGCAATTTACCAATTTGTACTGGTCCAATATTCGAATGTAATACCACTAGAGGGTCGATATGCCATTATCATAAAGTTTGAGTTAAAAGTGAAAAAAATGTCCTACTCAATCGAACCTCGAGTGGTATTCGTTGAGAAAATTCCACGAGTAAATAAATTAAGTCATATTTGTGTCATTTTGGTATATCTCTATACAATAATACATCCGTTTTGCATTTCTGTTCCTTTCTTTTTATCCGTCAGCAAACCGTGTTTTTTAAGTTTTTAATAGGTTTAAATTTACAGGAGCGGAATTGTCGAATGTAATACCATTGAAGGTTCGATTTAGCCGTATATTTTTTGACTTTTCACAAAAAGTTGGTGGTTTGACGTATTAAATTGACGAGTCAAATTAACAAACCACCAAGTTTGAGTTAAACGTCCAAACAATTTCCTGCTCAATTGAACCTCGAGTGATATTTGTTCAGAAAATTCCACGAGTAAACAAATTAAGTCATTTTGGTGTAATTTTGGCATTTCTCTATACAATAATACATCCGTTACTATAGAGAAGGTAAATAGAAAAATGTTCGTCAATTTTGGTCACTTGCATTTCAGTTAATTTCTTTTTATTCGTCAGCAAACCGTATTTTTGACAGTTTTTAATAGGTTTAAATTTACAGGAGTCTTCTTGTCACAATCTTTGCAGTTTATTTCGTAGATCCCCGACCAAAGATAAGAATCCTAAAATTGAAAAGTCGGAGATCTACGAAATAAACTGCTGAAATGCTGAAATCTCGACGCCATGGTAAACCTCCGAAAAATAATACAAAAAAACGAGATAAACAAATTCGTGCAAAAGAGGTTTTAAAGATTGGAACAGATTTTGGACATTCAACAAATACTTTGGTGGGTGTAGCTGCGGTTCTTCGTACTTCGGACCGAAAAGAAGAATAAGGAGACCATCGCTACGGAAAGTTTATTGCAGAAACATTGATGGAAACTCATTAAAAATAAAAGAGATACACCTTGCACATTGCTAGCAACTTTTTTCTTGAAACTGATATTTTTCTGTATAAAATTCCGATGTCCCAGTGTTCGTACGAACTCGCATAATTTGCACTGGCATTTTATTTTGTTTCCTTGTATGTTTTGGTAAAGAAGGAAATGTAGAATAATCGGGTGGCTGAACAGCAGACGAATTCTGATCCTTTTTTTTCGGTAACTAAGTATTTTGCAAGCATTACATATAAGTCGTGAAAGACGGTTGTCTTCAGGATTAAAAGGAAACATGTCTTGAACCGAGCTCTGAAGAGCTCCAGTAATTTTTCCCATATCCGCCTTCTTTTTAAAACATAACAAGCAAATTTTTTTAATGAGTCCAAGCTTGAGTTTTCACATACAATATTTAAAGTTCATTATTATAAGGTTCAGAATTAGACAATAAACTATTCTGCAGAGTAAAGCTCAATGTGTAGTCCAGCAACTAAAGAGTTAATTTAAACGTATAAAAAATGCGTTAAGCAGTTTTTTGTCGGTTTCTTTCACAATTTAAACCAAATTCTATTATTTTGATCCCTTTAGTAAGGCACTGAATAGTTAAAAGTTATATGTATGTATTTTAAATGTTAGTGTTGGAAAAAAAATTACACAATTTGTAAATACTTCTTTAAATTTTAGTTTTTAGGTAACTGGTTAAAATAAAACATGTTATAATAAAGGGGTTTATTTAGAATATTTTTGGTTTTTGCTTAATTTTAACAATTTAAAACTTCTCAGAACTTGAATATTTTCTATGAGAAAGAGGTACAAAATTATGATATGTTCTTGCATTTTTAATTGCAATTAAATTCATGAATCTCGAACACTCCGTCATTTATAAGACTTGCAAACTTCAAGTTCACAAGTCACAAGTCACTTCTAAAAAGACTTAAGTCATAAGTCGTAAGTCGTAAGTCTTTTTTGAAATAAAAATGACTTAAGTCTTAAGTCATTTTTTCTATAAAACAGAAAAGATTTAAGTCTTAAGCCTTTCAAAAAGACTTAAGTCTTTTTTTTAAGCCTTAAGTCTTATTAAAAATGACTATATAACGACTTAAATCTAGAAAAAGACTTAAGTCATTTTTAGTCCCTAAAAATACTTAAGTCGTTTTTAGATTTAAGTCGTTTTATAGGTTTAAGTCGAAAAAAAAAGATTTAAGTCAAAAAAAAAAAAGATTTAAGTAAAAAAAACAAATACCTTACTCATTTTGAGAGATTCAAAAGAAGATCAAAGAGTATATATCTAATAGATACTCTTTGACAAGACTTTTAATGAAATTTATTTTTAAAATAGGTGCATAACAAAAAGTTGATCACTTAATTAGTCAATTATTGTATTGTATATAATAATGTACTGGCACACAGTGTTGGAAATGCCCAAAAAGCTGGCCAAAATCTATAAAATCTACATTAATATATTTGAGTAAATTTAAATTTTTTTCATTAGTAAACTAATAAAGGTATGTTAAAAACATATAACAAATTTCTTAAGTTTCATAACTGATTTAGTAGAGAAGGTCAAATTTGAACTTTCTTGAAGTGATTTTTTCAAGTAACCAGTAAAAAAGGTACTTTTTCAAATATTATTTTTTTAATTATCATTAAAGTATATGCTATTTTTAAATGAATTACTTATTTTAGGTGGATAAAACGATTTTTTAGTGAAAACATATTTATTATATATGTAACCAAACTTATGTTATCTTTAATTAAAGTTAGTTGAGTAAAACTGCATTTTCTAAAATTAGTGTAATTTTTAAAAAATGATTTTGTTTAGGACCTCCACGAGCCCGAGCTCAAATTTTGTCATGATCAGAAAGTTAGTACCTTGGTGTGTTAGTACCATGAAAAATTGGATCCGGTTTGATCCGGTCCTGGGGGCTATCCATAAATTACAGTTTGCTTATTTTAAATGCTGTGTCTAGTCTCACGCTAGCGTGAACGCAATTTAATTTTTATTCTCACGCTAAAGTCAAAATAATTTTAATTTTATTCTCACGCATTATTTTATTTAATTTTACTTTTTAGGTGTCGTGTCGTGTCATTTGATTTGATTATTATTTGATTATGTCATTTGATTTGATTATGCAAATGTAATAAAATTTACTAATAATAAAATCGAGACTCTATTACTGCAGCCAAACCAACCCAAACTCAACAACACAACCCAACCGACCCCGCCCCATTGGGCCCCCCCCCGCCCCATTGAGCAAAAAACCCAACTAAAATGGGCAAATTTATGTTACGATAAAAATAAAACACTTTAACAAAGGAACAACAAATTTATGAAATAAAAAAAGTTCGACAACTTCTGGTAGATTTTATGTTACGATAAAACTAAAACAAATTATCCAACCCAACCCAACCGAACACTGTTTAACAAAGAAACAACAAATTTATGAAATAAAAAAATAAAAAAAGTTCTTAGAATCGAACCCCGGACCTCTCGCATGCCAAGCGCCCGCCCTACCATCGGAGCCATCTAGCTTGTTGTCAAATATTAAACGCTCTGGGAACAAAAACGGATTATAATTAGTGACGTCACCGCGTGAAAATAAGAATAAAATTGCGTTCAGGCTAGCGTGAGACTAGACACAGCGTATTTTAAAACTTATGTGAAAATTGTTTAATAACTTTTAAAGTAAGTAACTTAATAATTTTTTAATATAAAAAATACTAGTTATAACTATAGTTAACTTTTAAACACCTTTGGCGTATTTAGTTCGCCAGGGACGGACTAGCTTTAATTTGATTATGTCAATTTTTTCAAGCGTGTAACATAATATATAATATTATATTATACTTACCGCAATATTAAAACTTATATAAAGAAACGACACACATTTATTAAACGTGCAGAGACAATTTTTTAACATGCAATTTTACCTCGACGCAACGTTCAAACCATCAAAATAGTAATTTTAAAAATTATTAAATCATTATTTATTTATTTTTTTAAGAATTTAATTCTTACCTATTTTGTCATTTTAAAAAGAATTAAATCATTATTTTGACTTAAGTCATTTTAAAAAGATTTAAATCATTTTTAGACTTAAGTCATTTTAAAAAGATTTAAATTATTTTTAGACTTAAGTCATTCTAAAAAGACTTAAGTCATTTTTTTGTTTTAAGTCATTTTAAAAAGACTGAAGTCCTTACGCAAATGTAGAAAAAGCTTAGTAATACAAATCATTTTGAAAATGACTTAAGTCTTAAGTCTCAAGTCGTCCAAAAAAAAGAGACTTAAATCAAATGACTTAAGTCACAAAAATGACTTAAGTTAAAAAAAAGACTTAAGCTTTCTGCTGTCTGACAGCTCTGCAAACTTGCAAACTTTTTGAAATCACAATTTAAATACGCACAAATAATATTTATGAAATACCCTGACAACAATCGTGATATTCATACGAACATCATGTCGTGATTTTCACAAATTTTATTCATACTGATATCATACGGAAGTCACCGCGTGATAAATGAAAATCATACGAACGTCACGTCGTGATTTTCACAAATTTTATTCATACGGACATCATCCGGATGTCACTGCGTGAGAAATGAAAATCATGTCGTGATTTTTTATGCCATCGCTGTTTGCGATTGACCGATGGCCTAAAAAATCATGTCGTGATTTTTTATGCCAACGGTGTTTGGATAATCATTTTTGCTAAGAGAAAAATTATGTTGAATCAACAGTTTTTGCGGTTAAATACATTTAATATTTTCTTGGAGAAAATATTGAATGTATTTAACCACAAAAACTGTTGTATATGTGGGTATACTTTTCTCTGCGAATGTGGCGCAAAAATAAATATCCATCACATGATTTTTTTATGCCATCGGTGCACCGACATGTTTGGATATTTATTTTTTTGCCACATTCGTACATTGAAAGAAAAAGTATGTTAACAATTGAATCAACAGTTTAACATTCAATATTTTATTGGATTTAAATTAACTATATATAGTTAATTTAAATCCAAGAAAATATTCGCAAATATCACACCGTGAGTTCTACATGATATCACTGTGATGAAGCATGTGTATGCACTCAGGATATCACAGCGTGATAAAAAAAATCACGTTGTGATATCATCATGACTTCACCAGGAAATCCCGATTGTTGTCCGGGTATTTTTGACAGTTCTGACATTTCTCTACCAAACATGAATTGACTTAGTCAAAGCCATCTAAATTTTAAATTATAAATAAAACTAACAATATCGCTTCTTAACTGCATTAAAAAAATTACATGGATAAAAATAACAAAACAAGACTAACTAGACTGAAAAGATGAAGTTGGGGACTACATTTCCTGAAAGTTTCATATTTTTATTTTGTACTCAACATAATGATTTCTGAGAGCAAAATTGGCTAATTTTGAAAATTATCAAGCTTCAATAATTTTTTTAATAAAGAAAATGATAGTCTAGAAACTTAAAATAATAGTTACGTTTTCTATTGTATAAGTACTTGATACCTGAAAAAAGCAACTTTCTAGATTTAGCAGAATAGGCACAGGAGCCAGACAAAAATCACAAAAATTGGCAAATTATTACAAATCTTTGTGGTTTACCATTCTTTTATGAGATGAACTAATAAGATTATAATAATTAATATTGAAAACATACTTACTAGACAGTAAAATAAAATTACAATCATTTCAATAATTGCCACAGAAAAAAAGTTTTAGCCTCTTATAAGAGAGTAAGAAAATGACACGATTTCAGGTTTCTAAAGGGTGCCGATTAAAAATAAAGCAACTAAAAATTAAAACGGCAACGGTTTTTCATATATGATACCTTCATTTTTGGTGTTTTCATTTGGATTGACTCTAAGGCGAATTAATATATTTAAAAAATTATTGTATTTACCTTAATAACTGTATATGAAAAAAATACAACAATGGCAATTGTGTATATTGGCATAATAAGCCCTATTGATCCTCCCACTGACTGCTGTTTTGCTGGAACTACATGACCTGCTCCTCCAATAGTAGGGCGAAGTCCAGGAATTGGACCCGGCTAAAAAATAATGTCAGATTTAATTTTTTGTTAAGACAAAATTATCAGAAAAACAAAATTAGCAATAACACTGTGTAACACAAAATTAATTAGGAAGTAAATAACTAAAATTGTGCGACCCCAAAAACATATCCCTTCAAGAGATTTTGCGAGTTTAGCTTGTATAATAGAGCTACAAACAGTTTAATAAAATAATTTCCTTAAAACTGTCAATCCTCATCCGATTTTTCAAATTAAAAAATCAAAGCTTGTTATTGTTAAAACAAATTGTTTAAAGCATTTTTATTAAACCAAACTTACTTTAGCATTTACTTTTGATTCTTCTTTCTGAAAATAGTATAATAATAATATTTAATTAATATCATCAAACATGATAATAATAAAAATATATCATAAAATAAGTAATTTGCAGACTGCAAATTGCAGTATTGCCAATACGTCGAAATAAAATTACTGACAGCTCTAGACGTTTTCGGAAACCCACTCTGGTAAGTGAACCTTTACTCTTGTTCGCAATCTTACTGGGGTAAGGGATCGAGTAAGTTTTCTGCTATGTGCGCATAGCGTTTCTTTACATATTTTCCATTGTGCCTATTATTATAATTAAAAAATAGGTAATTGTACACATTATAATGCATTATAATTATAATACCTATAGGTACTATGCTCCACACCTCAGTCCCACCACGTGACTACGTACGGAGTCTGTTACCGATTATAATTATGTTTAAGCGTTAAAAGTTTATAAATCATTATAGAATTACAATTACAATAACAATGGTTGGTTTAAAAATTTAGGAGTATAAATACTGCATTTAATTTTTTTTATTGAGAATAATATCTAAATACATAGTTACAAGAACTTTGACAGATATATGTTATATTAGCAATAATATAAATTTAGATGTTTAAATAACAGCAATAAATAGTATAAATAATATAAATAACAGAAGTAAACAAAAAAAAATACACATTAGATTAGGGTGTTTTGCCTTCTGTTTATAATAAAGAATTTTAATTGTTTTTTAAAACTTATATACTTAGTTCTGGTACATTTAGTCAGTATTCGTTTTTGTCCTATTTTGGTCTTTGAGCTTGGTATATTGATTTTGTGATTGTTTCTTGTCATGAGTCCATGTACTTCAGATCTTTTAATTATATTTAAGTCTTCATCATTGTGTTCTTTTTCCAGTATTTTTTTTATAATTTTTATTGTTTCCATTTCTTTTAATTCTTCAATATCTAATGTGTTTGTTATTTTGTATACTTCCTTTGTTGGTGTAAATTTTTTTAGATTGTATAAGGTTTTTAATAGTTTGTTTTGTTTTCTTTGTAGTGTGCTTATTTTAGTTTTATTACCTGTGGCCCAAAAAGGAATCATAAACATTATTTTGCTTTTTATGTAGGCTTCGTAAATCATCCTTTTTTGTTTTTTCAGGCAGTATGTTACATATTTTATGGGCAAGCCCTTTGTATGCCGAAAGATGTTTGTTTTGCTGACTAATGTGACTTTTCCAGTTTAGATTTTTATCGATAGTATATGAGGCGCCGTTTGCGTCAAAATTATTTTATGCTTTTATAGATAAAAATTCCACACATATATGCGAAAATGCAAGTATAAAGTTTCTTTTTGGTAAATATATAGAAATGCAAAAGTAAAGGTACAAATACAAAGTTTTGTTTTGGTACATATATAAAAATGCAAAAGTGCAGGTACAAATATAAGTCGTTTTTTCGCGTAAATACTATGTAATACTACGGTTAAATAAGTCATGACGTCACAGTTAATTCATATAACCATGGTTAGGTTTCTAACATTTGACATTTGTTTACTTGTTCATAACCTATAATTTTTGAAATGTGTTTTTACCTATTTATATTTAATTTCTATGCTTTTACCGGTGTAAATAAATTTCTTGTTCATAACCTATAATTTTTGAAATGTGTTTTTACCTATTTATATTTAATTTCTATGCTTTTACCGGTGTAAATAAATTTCTTTGCCTCTTTTTATACCTAGTATATTCTTTTTCTATAGGTACTAGTTTTTTTAATACACGTTATCCAATTCTCCTACATGTTTAATAGAAAATAAGGAATATAAAAAAAACCTGCATATAATTCCTCCACTTGTGGAGATTCACAATATGGAGCACCCTATCATTTATTTTTACTGACAACACCCCGTTTACCATTTTAATACAAAGTTTAAATTCGGTTTAAGAGCCATTGTACCTACTTAAAATATTTTAAATTTCAAATGTAAACAACTTCTTGACAGATCGAAACAGAAAAATATATATTAAAAAGAGAAAGACTATTAACCACGTTGAATAACTAGCTCAGCGATATAGTTTTATGGTCTGGTATTTGTGACGTCATAGTTAGGATTTTTGAACGCACTCTAAACGCAAAAATGCCTTAACTATTAACCACGGTTAAGTTTAATAACCATAGTATTTCATGGTATTTACGCGAAAAAACGACTATAAAGTTTCGTTTTGGTACATAAATAGAAATGCATAAGTGCATGTGCAAAGTTTCGTTTTGGTACACATATAGATATGCAAAGATGTGGGTACAAATATAGAATATAATATAATGTTATATAAAGTGTAGCATGGACCGTTGGTACAAATATAAAAAGTAAGGTTTGGGACGGAGGCGCAAGATGGCGTTTTCAACACTTTTAACCGCGCTTAAACGTACGTCTGTTCTTACTACCGGCATTTAAGTTTCTAGTTTAACCTCATTTTTAATGTTTGTTTGTTTTAATTAAAACGAATCGTTTTGTAAAAAATAGGTAAGAGTAAAAAGTAAAACGGCGTTTATAACTTACCTATTTTCAACTAAACTCCTTTTAATTAAAACAAACAAACGTTAAAAGTAGTTAATCTATAATACACAATAGAAAATTTAAATGCCGGTAGTAAGAACACCTTAAGCGCGGTTGAAAGCATATACTTACCACACATATGTGGTAAGTATATGGTTGAAAGTGTTAAAAACGCCATCTTGTGTCTCCGTCCCAAACCTTACTTTTTATATTTGTACCAACGGCCCATGCTACACTTTATATACCATTATATTATATTCTATAATTGTACCCACATCTTTGCATATCTATATGTGTACCAAAACGAAACCTTGTAGGTACATGCACTTGCATTTTTATATATGTACCAAAACAAAACTTTATATTTGTACCTTAACTTTTGCATTTCTATATATGTACCAAAAATAAACTTTATATTTGCATTTTCGCATGTATGTGTAGAATTTTTTATCTATATAAGCCTAAAATAATTTTGACGCAAACGGCGCCTCATAATAGTAAGACCCAGGTATTTAATTTTTTCTTCTTCTATAATTTTCTCTGAATTTATGGTGATTCTTATGTTGTGTTTTTTGTTTTCCTTTCAAAGTTTATTATGTGACAAATTGTTTTCTTCCAGTTAAGTAAGATTTAAAGATATGTGCGGATCTACCGTGTCGAAGAAATTCTAAAGTGTCAAATAAGTAATATTTTTATGAATTTGGTCTGCATATCTAGTTTTCTCCATAAAATAGTTTTAACTAAACGCATTTGTTAAAAAAAAAATAACTTCACTATTATGGAATAAGAATATCTATATCAAAGGTAGGTTATTATATTATAACAAAAAATATCATCTAAGTTTGTAATTTTAAGGGTGGTAAAATCTACTTTGAGCAAAATAAACAAGTATTTTGGATTATTTGAAAGAGTGGGGTAATATGGTCATATAAATATAGCTATACTAAATAATTGTTGAATATGGTTCAAATTAAATTGAAGCTTTTATACTTCTAACGACAAAACTTGTGCATACCTTTTGGCATACCTACTTTAAGTTAAGTTATAAGAAAACAAACAATTTTTAGAGAAACTTGCAATGCGAAAATATCTAATACCCGGACAACATTCGTGATATTCATACGAACATCACGTCGTGATTTTCACAAATTTTATTCATACTGATATCATACGGAAGTCACCGCGTAATAAATGAAAATCATACGAACGTCACGTCGTGATTTTCACAAATTTTATTCATACGGACATCATCCGGATGTCACTGCGTGAGAAATGAAAATCATGTGGTGATTTTTTATGCCATACCTGTTTGCGATTGACCGATGGCACAAAAAATCATGTCGTGATTTTTTATGCCAACGGTGTTTGGATAATCATCTTTGCGCCACGTTCGTACACTAAGAGAAAAATTATGTTGAACAGTTTTTGCTGTAAAATACATTTATTATTTTCTTGGATTTAAATTAACTATATATAGTTAATTTAAATCCAAGAAAATATTGAATGTTAAACTGTTGATTCAATTGTTAACATACTTTTTCTTTCAATGTACGAATGTGTCACAAAAATGAATATCCAAACACCAATGGCATAAAAAATCATGTCGTGATTTTTTATGACTAAACACCGATGGCATAAAAAATCATGTCGTGATTTTTTATGCCATCGGTGTTTGGATATTTATTTTTGCGCTACATTCGCACATTGAGAGAAAAAGTATACCTACATATATTAAATCAACAGTTTTTGTGGTAAAATACATTCATTATTTTTTTGGATTTAAATTAATAGTTAATTTACATTCAAGAAAATATTAAATGTATTTAACCGCAGAAACTGTTAATTCAATTGTTAACATACTTTTTCTTTCAATGTACGAATGTGGCGCAAAAATAAATACCCAAACATGTCGGTGCACCGATGGCATAAAAAATCATGTCGTGATTTTTATGCACGTTCGTACATTGAGAGAAAAAGTATACCTATTGAATCAACAGTTTTTGTGGGTAAATACATTCAATATTTTTTTGGATTTAAATTAATAGTTAATTTACATCCAAGAAAATATTAAATGTATTTAACCGCAAAAACTGTTAATTCAATTGTTAACATACTTTTTCTTTCAATGTACGAATGTGGCTCAAAAATAAATATCCAAACATGTCGGTGCACCGATGTCATAAAAAATCATGTCGTGATTTTTTATGCCATTCGTGTTTGGATATTTATTTTGCGCCACATTCGTACATTAAGAGAAAAAGTATACGGCCATTTCACGCGTAACGGATGGGACAGTTGCAAGTTTTTATTTACAAAATAACATTGTTCTATTATATTACTAATGTCAAATTTTTATAAGTAGTTCTAAACAAAAGCTGTTTAACAAGGTTTTTATTAGGCAAAATTAGGTATCGTGGTTGACTGTTTAATTCCTTCAAAATTATTTTTTTTTTATTCAAAAAGACTACTAGTACTGTTTTTGAATAAAAAA